GAGTAGCTTGGTGGCGTAGTGGATAAGCGCCGCGGCCCGCGATCGTAATCGTTAAGCAACTTTCGCAAGGGTCGGTCACGGGATGGGTGACCAAAACTTATTATCTCGAGCTACTCCGTGCTTCGGAAGGCACGTTAAGCCGTTGGTCCCGGCTGCATTTGCAGTCGTTAATACCCTCTAATCCGCATTGGGCCAGCGTGGAGGGTCATTAACCATCTCCTTAACCATCCATAAGGAAGGCCTGAGCCCCTGCAGTGGGGACGTAAAAGGGCTGGTGATAATTCGGTACACATTAGCATGGACCAACAATATTGGTCCATGACATTAGTCTTTATTCCGACATAGAAATTTTAAGGTTCCCAAGGGAAAAATATCCAATATCCACTTCAAATCACCAGGGTAAGTTTCGTAGCGTCGTAGTTTCGTAGCACGCTACATTTTTTTATTTCTTTACTTAGAAACATTTTATATTAGTTTTTCTCATAGAGTGCCCCGATTTCCTCTCAACTGCTAGTACACAAGTAAAAGATAAGTAATATTTAGGTCGATAAGTATGTACAGTAATATTAATGTATCATAATAAATAATCACGTGTTGAGACATTCAAGTATATCACGTGCCAATAGTGTTTTCTTTTAATGCAGTATCTACCCTTGTGTTTTTTTTTTATTTTGTTCGATAAAATCGGTGTTTTTGTTATTATTGTAATGAGACATGACTCACAAGAAGTGGATTGAATGTCAGGTAGGTATATACTCACGAGGCCATTCGATACTGCAAGAGGAACGAGTAACGGACAGTAGAGAAATAATAGATGGTGCAGACGATAAAGGTAGAAGGAAGCGGAAGGTTAAATGTTATGTACTGGCATAAGTTGAGTAGGTTTTGAAAATTACCGAGCGCCAATCGCATCTGTGTGTATGGATCACACATCTATTTAAACTTAATTGCACAATAAAAGCATACAATTGACGGTATTGGTCTGTAGACATTCTTAAGGGTTATGGAATATCATTTTTTTCACCTTCTCACAGCATTAGCATTGGCATACTATACCACACAATGAAAAACACTAAAAAGAACAATTTTGTCTTTTGAACATGAGTCCATGCTAGTGATATTCAAAACTACAACATCAACAGTGTCCTACTTTTTCATGTTTTATTGAGCCGGCGTTAGATATAGATAGATTTTTCTTTTGGACACTTGATTTTTCTAAACAATTTTTTTTTATTTAAAATTTTAGACTATATTACAAATTCAGTTAAAAATAATAGATTATGAAGTTATCAATTGTCCTTACACATATTTAATTATAAATTGTCGATAAATGATTGACGTCTGACGATATCACGAGAATGATAATCGGTCAGTGCATGATGTTCTTACGCATAGCTATGTAGTAAACACTTAGTCAAACTTAATTATATAATAGTGGGATGTCAGACTTATTTATATTTTATCTAATAAATAGCAGGACTGATATCTAGGATTTTTTTCGAGATGAGCAAGAAACTATACAATAATAACAATTAAAGGTACTGTATTTTTGTAGTGTATGATTTTTTGTCTTTTATTTCATTTATGTACTTTGAAAACATATACAGATAAGTTTTATTGCGTAGGGCATCATATTTCAGCCGGAAAACGTCCACTGCTGGACGAAGGCTTCAAAAGCCGCCATGTCGATCGGTCGCGCGTGGTCCTAATACAACGCTTCCCGGCAATCCTAATTGCCGGTCTTCAGATTCGTCGAGGGTTTAGGACTTCAAATAGTCGTAATTCGGCACTACAAGCAGGGCTATGACCCGTACTTATTTCTTGGGTTCTTCCACGAAGGACCTATGTCCCATCAATAATAGGCTAAAGATGATGATATAGGACAGACGACCCAGTTTTGAATTTAAGAATTACGAGGAAGTGAACTTTATTATATCACAACAGTTAACATTTTTATCGTAATGTAACATTTTAAAAACCGTTTACGGTAAAGTAACATATTTGCCTATTATAGTAATATATGTATATACCAAAAATTGGGGCAGTGTCCCAAGAGCGGCTCTTCTGCTCTATTTAGAAAGCAAAATATACAAAATATTTTTCATCATATCTAAATATTTCTTGCTATCTTTATTTATCTTAAAAAATAACAAGGGATACCATCTTATACCAAATATTACTATAATTATTATTCGTTCTCCGTTTTTAAAAGATACCTACCCAACTTAATCCGGAAACGTAACATACTGACATAATATTGGTTAACTCTGATAGAACCCGATCGAAGGGGGTTAAAACCTGTTCCATGTAGATAAATGTGGTTATCATGTATTGGGCACGCGCGTGCGCACTGACCGAGCTTACTAGTAAAAAAAGACATGTCAGACTATCAAGGCTGTTACGTTACAGGTCTATTAAAAGGTTCTGTATTATTATAACAAAATACTTAAAAAGAAATCGAAAAATTAATCATGGTAATTTCAGCTGGAGCGTACAGGGTACTGAGAAAAGAAATGTTTCGTAAAACACAGGTGGAAATTGCCAAATTGCACTAACGGTTGGCAGGTTGATCACAACCACAGAAGAAGTAAAAAATAACATATTTATCTAAGTTAGACACAGTCATCAACATTTTCTTAGGTTAGCACTATGATCGGAAATTGTCTTCTAATCGTTACGCTCCAATCGAAACTTTTAAATTTTGATAACAATTTTCTAGCTATTAACCGTCTGAATTCAAATGAGTCTCTTAGTTAACCGCCTTCGTGTTTAGAATTTGCATTTATTTTTTAAGTTGGTTTTAGTTTTTGAAAATAAAATACTATTTTGTTTTAGAATTTTTAGTGACGAGACACTTGTGAGCTTACTTTTCCGGGTTTATAACGGAACTATTTCAAACCCTACGAAATATTTCCGGCTTAATGTGACAATTATGTCTAGTTAACTTATCTATATTTTTATGTCAAATACCTTGAGGGTTAGTTAACTTATCCAATCTGGATTTGTCCACGATTCTCCCATTTCGATAGAGGCTGTCAGTAATATCATATTTGTGAGGGAAGAGTTTCAAGGGTAGTAGAGTAGAGTAATTCAAGTGTATTTTTTTAATTAGCCTTTTTAAACTCAATAGTAACGCAATTGGAGTTATTTGTTTTCGTTAAAGTGCCAGAAAACTGATCCATTGAATATTCTTTTGTTTTTGGTGTAGTACTTCATAAATCACGTTTCATATTGAATCGCCGAGATACATAAAATTCAGTCACAGACATAATATGTGCTATGATCGCAATAACTTGGCGTAATCATGGTCATCAGTATAAAGGTTTTATAAAGGTTTCAGTATAAAGGTATACTCTTTAGACTAAGCAATTTTCTTTTTTATTAACCGACTTCAAAAAAAGGAGGAGGTTATTAATTCGACTGTATTTTTTTCCTGTTTGTTACCTCATAATTTTTCACTGGGTGAATTTTGTGATTCTTTCTTTATTTGAAATAGCTAGTGCCATGGGGTCCCATTTTCATTTCTCTATTTTATTTGGAATTGTATCGTATGTCACTTAGTATAATAGAAAAACCATTAAAAACTGTAGTTTTGTTCGGTTTCGATCTGTTTTCGATTCGATTTAAACAAAATTTATTTAGTAGAATTGGCCCCCTGGTAAAGGAGACTAGAGAATTTTTCCTCCTGGAGGACAATTTGTATAGTCTAGACTAAGACCAAGCAAACCGTAACTGGCCCATAAATATTATAATGGGCACTATATCTAAACTGAACTAATCAGATTGGTACCTAAATTAAAATGCTTTGATATAAATCAGGCCTAGAGGCATGATAAAGTTTTATTTAAATAAGAAGTGATCCTAGTATTATGTTGTTCTATAATGGTCAACTTTTTTAAATAGTGAGGCATAAAGATTTTCTATTATAACGCTATGCTGAAGACATTTAAAGATAAAAACAACGTGAATGTTAATCAGTTTTCTTTTTTTTTTGGCGTGTGGATCATTATGGAGTAAAATCCTGCATAAATTATTAAAAGAGGTTTCAACTTCAACATGCCCGCCTTTTTATTAATCAGCAAAATAACGACGCCGTTTGAAAATTTACCGATACACATTTTTCGATGTTAGTACACGAAATAGGTTAAGATTTTCCATCGTTTTCCCCCATTAGAGGATTTTACAATTTCGCAGAAATACAGTTAAATATTGTAAAATCTGACAAAAGAATATCACTTTAAAAGAGCACGTTTTAAATCACATTTTTCGTTCTATTTTTCATATACAAAATTGAAATAAGACACATCGAAAAAAAATATTAATTTAATCATCTAAATATATAAAATTTTGTTTCAAAGTACACATCAGTAAAATACACCTAAAAATGTTATTAATAACATTATACCTAATATCTTTTCGATTAAAAACTTTTTGTTTTCATATCTTAAAAATAAACAATTTGCAGTAAAAAATAAAATATCCTTAGTACTACATATTAAATAATAAATAACGTAAGTATGTTTTATTCTCTAAAACAGTTAATTATGAATTTGACAATTTGATTTTTTTATTACGTATACACATTGTCAAAATTATCCTACAAACCAACCAGAAAACACAATTTATTATTTACCGGTAGAGGCGCTGCTCTCCATAAAGTTCTAATTGTATTAAGATATCTAGTTTTAGAATTTTATTATTGGAAAACAATCTAAGTTATAGCTTAGCATATCTGTGATTTTATCTTTGAAATCAATTATACTTAGTCTCCATTTCCCAATTTACAATTTCAGCCTAATTATTATTCATGTCATTAATTCTATTTTACCATGAGCAAGACTTTATAACACTAATGCCCGTTTTCACTAAACTTAGGATTAGCCCACATCTGTCGCCTAAATACTTAGGAATCGCCTAAAGTGCAAATGCATTTTACCTTTGACTAAGGAACCACCTAACGGCACTGAGCGAAAGTTATGTTATACGTAATGCTACTCCTTGCGCTTGGTATTTGCGTTATATGACAAATGCGTTAAGTCAAATGTGTCACGGGATAAAAGAAAAAAAATATTTATTTAAAATTAAACTAATCTGCTTAGGCGTTTCCTAGTAAAGCTTTGCCTTGTTCTAGGTTAGCGAAAACGGGTGTAAATCTTAGTACTATTTCTATTCCTACTTACACGTAGGTACTTTTAATATGTAAAACATAATATCAAACGTATAATGGACTTATACTACGATAAGTGCTAATTACTCTTATAAATGACATCGTAATTATAAATCCATATTCAACCAAACAGGTTGTTTGTACCAAATTTTATAAATAACTTTTTATGTCGATAACATTCATAATAACAAAAACACAATATTATTTTTAGTATTCATCGTATGACATGGGTTTTGTAAAATTCATATTCTAAAAATATCTCGGTATTGTCAACATAATCACAGGTCAATTTATATTAAGGGGTAAGTTATATATCCAAAAAGAAATATTTGATGACCTGTCAACATAATCATAGGACAATATATTTTAAGGGGTAAGTTATATATCTAAAAAGAAATATTTGACGACCCACTCAAAGTATTATCCGTTTTCACTTGTTTAATCAAAAAATCGACTCAATCTCTCATACGGCCGGTTTCTGAATTGAGAAAAGTACAAATTCTCAACTGAATATTCTCAATAACTTAAGTTGTTTTTACGTTTCACAAGGCAAAAAGTACTAGTTTTATGAAACTACTATCAACTGATCATTGAAAAAACTAAAATGAGAAACGAAAACATGTTCAAGTGACGTTTAAGTACACTTTGAGCTCTGCTTAACTTTAAATTCCAGAAACCGTATGTTAGTCCTAATCAAGTTTCTAACACAAAGGACCAAAGTAGATAGACTAATTGTTTCAACATATAATTATAATCTTTAAATCAAAAGAAGAATGAGCTATTGAGTCAAATAGCCAATAATTAAGGTCGGCACATAAATAACGGAAGATATATGTCCAAGATTTTGTGACAAAAACATGCAAGAGTGCAAGATTTCAAGGTTGAATTTGAAAAACACTCCCGGGGATGGCAACCTTATGAGACATGAGAGTTACTGAAAGAATTCGTTTAAATAATATTTAAATTACTATTACAATACGTTGAAATATCTACGTAGTCATTGTCAGGTATTTCAATCGTATTATATCATAGTAACTATCGATCAATTACTCGATTTAAAGGGTTAGGGTCCGTCCATTAATCACGTGTGACTCGAATATTAAGATTTTTTTGTAGGTAAAAATACACGTGATTTGGTTGAAGCGGGGGGAGTATTCCGTGAATTATTTGTTGGATTTTCTGTAAGATATGCACCGACCCTTACACATTTTGAGTTTTGAACTGGTATATAAAAAAATTGACTAAAAAATCACATCTTTAAATATAAAAAAAAATAACTATAATTTCTATCCACATCGTAAGGAAATCTATCACAGTATAGTTACAGAAAATATTCCCTTATGTTTTTTTAGCTCACAGCAGAATTTTGAATTCAGATTTGAATTCAGGAATGTGCGTAATGGAGAGGAAGTTTACAATACAAAAATTTAGTTTTTCCTAAATCACATTCAGCAAGAAGCTAGGTTAAATTTTAAAATCACACAACAATAAAAATCTCTTTGGCTACATCTTGGACCTGATTAGTCCCAAAATCAGTCCATTAATCCACCCAATTACAGTAAAACAAGTAAAAAATGTATTTAGGAATGCATTTTATGCCTATCGTACTGCGTTGAGTTTCCATTTGAGCAACAAGAATGCGGCAACCCTGAGCACTAGTACGAATACGGTGAGGGCGAGCACGTCCCACCAAAACATGTCTGGTGACATCGATACCTCCGTCAGGAACTGCCGCGGATGTCTGCCAACCAAAAAAAAGTTTTTTTTTTAATTAAAATAAAAAGTGTAAAAAGTGTTTTTAAGCAAAGGTATTTTTAAGCATTTTTCTTCAAAAATATGTATCAGTATAGATAGCTTTGTGAATGCTAAATTAGTCAAATATTATTAAGCTGTCTCATATGTTGTGTGTGACTCTCTACTGAAGCCGAAGTGGCAAAGCACAGGTATCTAGCAGAGGGATCTATTCTTTTTTGGAATATTTTTTTCCTAATATTATTTGGCATTGTCAAAACTACTTTTTGGCATACAGTTTGTTTTGACTTGTTTATTCTTAAACCATTTTATTTTTAATTATCACGCGTAACCTTACTACATCTGAAAGAGCCTACATCTGAAGAGAGAATAAATTTATTAAGTTAGGTTACACCGGTGACGGCAGCAATGATCAGAGCACGATGTACAAATTATTTTTATGTTAAAAAAATTGTGCAAGCATTATTAAATATAATGAAGACAAACAAAAGTATGCCATATTATATTTTATCATAACATTTTAAACAAACGGATAGGGAACTTTTAGCACATACGTACAAACTGTGTGCTTGAAACTTAGAATGTAAGTATTTGCGAGATTGCTACCATATACAAAACAAGGTACATGGTAAATCACTATGAAAGCTTAAAACAACATATGGGTTAAATATCATAGTTTTACAGCTATAAATCATTAATGTTTTTAAGGTTACGTAATGGATCAATAAGAGTCCACTGTCCGTCTGTCTGTCACCAGGATGTACCTCGTAACTGTCATAGTTAGGCAGTTTCTATTTATGCATGATCTATTTTTTGCCGCTATAATAACAAATAAACAAAATCAGAATAAAATAGATTATTAAGGGGAGATTTTTAAGGATTACCGTTAGAACGGAAACCTTTTTGTGCAAGTACAATTAACACATTAGGCAGTTCTTAGTTCAAATTAAAATATTCAAGTGTTACTTGTAGTGACAGTAGGGCGCCTGGTTGCAGTCTAGGATGGGTCGCTCCAGTCCGTAGATGGCGCCTATAAACCCCTCTAGGCCGTACCGCAAGTACGAAACGTACGAGCCCCAGTACAAGTACGACGGCAGATCACGCAGCGTCACGCCGAAGCCGGCGAACATCATCATCGGCACTGATAACGTCGGACCGAGGAATGTGCCATTCTACAAAGAAGTTTTATACAATAAACATCTTAATTATTATTGTCCTGTCTGGATTTCACTTGCAAACATCAAAAAATCACTTCATACACAATCTCCTCAATCGCGCAAGGTCAGATGATCTGCCAAGAAGCGACGCAGTTTCCATCAGATATGCACTAACCTTAACAGTCATTCGTATTATGATACGAACAGTCTCATCATCAGACCAGTATCATATACCAAAATCCTCAACAGGATGTCATTTTTACACCAAATATCCAAGAGGACATGTCCTATTCTATAGCGTTAAAATACATTAAGTTAGAGCAGGATACACGTTGAAACATTATCGATTACGTGAATCCCAATGGTAGACTTAACGTGGTAACCACTGCAAAATCGAAATTCTTAGCCAGGAAGTATATAAAATAAAATATTGTGATACTACGTAATTCGGAACGCACGTTGAACCATTGCCCGGCTGCATCTGCAATTTTTAACACCCACCAATCCGCACATTCGATATGATTCTATTCCAGAAAAGACCTAAGTTCCAGCTGTTGGTATATTAATAGGATGATTTTTATACTCACGACAACGTTGAATGCGGCACCGATCATGAGGCCGAAGCTCTGCGCGACCAGCACCGTGTATAACGAGATGGCGAAGAACATGCAGAAACGCACTATATCCAATGGTTGTGCAGACATCGTGTACACTATCACGCTGAATATCAAGCACGACACGATCTAAAACATTGTAACAGATGTCAAAGCTTCACAGACATCTAGATAACATGTTTCTCAAAGAAGTGGACTCCCCGGCAGTTGGTGGAGATATGGTAGAAATACAGCACAGTAACATTTTGAAAGAGGTTTACAAGAAACAAAAATTCGGGTGTGTCTGGTAGAGGATATAAAATGTACCTTTTTTATTTTTTCAATGTAAAATCAATACATTATTTGAGTAGAAAACCCGGTTAATACCACTGATTCCCTTTTGGCCATTTTGAACTTTAAAGTGTTCTAACTAATGCATTAACAAATATCGTATCGTAAATATAATATTATCGTGAACGGTTTTCAAAGTGTTTTCTTATGTCAAAAACTAATTGCGTTAACAGCAATGGTGTATCAAAGTTAACTTCATCGTAACTTTCAAAGTGGTTAAAGCTAGCTCATAATCTTAAAATGGTCCAAACCGGGTCATCTGCCCTACATAATGTCAAAATGGAATGTTAACATTCTACTCAAGTCTTCTTGCTAGTTAATATAAGATTATCTGTTAAGATATTAATATTTATAAAAAATATCAATCAGCTGTTTGCTGGTCGTATATAGGTAAAAAAAATATTTGAATTATGATTTTAACTACTTACCGATATTGGTAGATCCACAATTGTTATTGATATGTAATACGATCCAAGTGAATACCACCTGTTGAAGTGTTCTTTGGATAAAATTGACATCTCTGACGGAACTGGAAAAGACACATTTAAAAATCAATTATTATCATCATTAAAGACCGCCAACTATTTAAATGAAAAATGCTTAAAAATGCACCAGTCCCAGGTACCCTGTGATCGGACTCGGATCTAAAGCTTTCATGTTCCGTGCGATTGCTCTAATCATTGAGCTACCGGAGACCCAACAGGACTGACGATCTTTTCAAGTACTCGTTACTTATCACTTGGGTATTTTATAAACGTTCAGGAAATCTAGCCAAACAGCCAAAATATCTTAATTCAAAATTTTATACCCACCAAACTGACCTAGGGCCGGGTGGTGGCCATGGCATTCATCCTAATTGATTAGATTCCATCCAAGGAAAGACCTGAGCCCCAGCAATGGGGACATCTAAAGGCTGGTGATAATGATGATGATTCAGACAAATAGCTACTTTATATATCGGCCAAGCTTCGCTACACACCAGTTCCAAGGTGTCGCCATATCTGAGGTTCCAGGTTTGACTCCCTCCCGCTCAGGTCAATGTAGAAAATGAACTTTTTTACTCTGATTGGGGTAAACGTCTCTTATTAACGTAACACAAAAGCTTTATTTATTTACACAGTTTAGGATCCATGCGATTTTGTCTTTATATATTGATGTAAATCTACTCACAGGTGAGAATAGTCAGCATCATCGGTGACATCATGTGGTGCATCAATATGGCGAACAACAGGTTGTAATTTTCTAAAACCCTGGAGCCCTCGTTGCCAGCGTCAATGAACAGCATGCCCAGCATAATTCCCACCACCACGTTCACTATCAATCGAAGGTGGGTCATCGTCTGTGTAATGAAGATAATTTATTTATTATATTGATCAATTTCGCATTGAAAATGCTATACTGGAAAATATTTTAATCAAAAATGCTTAAAAAATCTACTTTGTACCTGGTACTCTGAGATGGGATCTTATAGTACAAGGGACAAAGTCGATTTTTCAAGCATTTTTCATAATGATAATTAATTTATCGATTTTTTAATCAAATTTTCAATAAAAATGATGTTGAATGTTGGTGACACGGCCAACAAAAAATTGTGAAAATTTCAATGATAATAATAACTATTTTCGAAAATTGAAGAATTGGGTTGCGTACTACAAGTGAAAATACAGGTTTATGTTTTATGTTCGGAACATATGAATCATTTTAACTTATAGATACTTAACAAAATAAATCTTATGTCACTTAAGTATTTTTAATGATCAAGTTGATAGGTGTTTGGTAAAACTAGGACGTTTAGCCTTTTGAAAAATAAAAATCTTAGGTTATTAAAAAAAAACCGTAGAGATTTTGTACTTTTCTCGATTCAGAAACCAACTGTTAGTGCCTTGAATTTGTTTGGAGCGTTTTCAGCTTACTATCGGCAGTTCCACCTACAAAGCACCGTATCTCCGAAACTATTAATCGTAGACATGCTGTTACTTCTACATTATTTCTTAAATGTTAATAATAATAAAATTTTACAAAATAAAATAAGTTGTCACCTAGCCTATTAGCGTGGGTTTTCACTTAGAAACACACAAACTTCTTTTTATTCATCTAAATAGTCTAAAAAACTAATAATTGTTATCATTTGATCTCTATATTGTACAAATTGACAATTAGGACCTCAAGAAATCAATCATATCATGATTATTAAGTAAATTATGCTAAAGTATTTATAACTCATGTATATTAGACACTTTTAGGATTTCAATTTGAGTAAATAATATCGTAAATCAGATGTCGATACGTAAAGTTAAAACAAAATTTTGAGTTGTGTTGTGCCGCGAATAAATTGACATGATTTGCAATACAAAGAATCAATCAAAGACTTAAATTCAAAATGTAATACTTACAGAATCGCGTTTGGCTTTTAAGAATCCCCTCCTTATAAGCACGGACCTCTGGTTGGATTGTGACGTCTCCTCCATCCCAGGACCAGTATCTTGTTCCCTCAGTATACTAAGTGGATATTGTTTCCTCAAAGCCTCCATTGTTGGAATAGTTTGTGGGTTTTCAAAGAAATCAAGAGATCTGCCGTTTTCAGCTTTAGAAGTTAAGATTTGGATTTTATCATCGCCATATTCTCCACAAGCCAGTTCAATAACTGAAAATTAATTTAATTTTTAATCCCGATCGACTGACCAGTAATTTATGAGTCCTGTTAGTTCAGTACATTCATTTAATTTTCTTGATTTGGGGGACAGGCAATGCTTGAAAAGCTTAATACAATATTTACTATAACATTTGCTGTAAATCTGTATTGTTGGATACCAACGCTGTACTAACTTGCATGTGATTATAATAATTACAAGAACTTATTGGCTTAAATGATTTACTTGCAGTGAAAACGTTTGCTAAGCAAAATCTTCTAAACGAAGGTTCTTCTCGATGCTCCTAAATACATATAAATTGATGTAGCTTGTCATATGAAACAAAATGAATAATTCATTTTTATTTTGCGTAATTAAATTGAAATTTTAGCGTGAATAAAAATTGACAAGATTATTTATCTTTTATGAAATAGAATTACAGTAGATTTTGGGTCATTTAGATGCTAATTATTTTTGTTTCTAATAGTTTCTTTATGCATTTTGTATCTTCTCCTTGAAAGTCTAGCGAAGGCATACACTAAAAATCACGCTCACTAATGCAGAGATTATTGGTTAAAACTACCATTAAAATACATCAATACTATTATACATACCGTAATCAGCCGGGTTGTGATATATCGGACATGGTACTCCAGCTTGCTCCAAGTATGGCACTAAATTCTTCGTTGTACCTTGGTAGAGACACTGGCCAGCCGCCAAAATGTAAACCTGGTCGAACATAGCGAACAGTGACGCAGAAGGCTGGTGGACTGTACACACTATAGTGCGCCCTTGATGTGCCAGTGTACGGCACAGTTGCACCACTTGTGAACAAGACGAGCTGTCCAATCCACTGGAACAATCATTAGTCTAGTTTAATGGAAAATGCTTAAAAAATCCACTTCGTCCCTGGCACTCTGAGATAGGACTCGAACTCATAACCTTTCGCAATCCGGGCGAGTAATATAACCAACGAGCTTCCCAGGACTTAACAGGAGTGACGAATTTTTTAAGCCCTTTTCTCGTTACTATAGAGCGTATATTCATCAATGTTCCGGCAATCCACTCAAACAGCTTAAAGTAATATTTTTACAAATATTTAAACTTTCGATAAAGATGAAAATTGGTTATAATTATTATTATTGATCAATTTTGCAATCCCAATGCTATATTGAAATATATTCCTAATGAAAGATACTTAAAAAGTCCACTTTGTCCCTGGCCCTTTGAGATGGGACTCGAACCCATGACATGTTTTCATTATGAATATTTTACAGTATAACATCATGATTTCAAAACCAATAAAATATAATGATTAGTCTATTTAAGCTTACATATATGTAATCATCACTAGCTAATAAATTTCCACACTGCTGGGTCTGAGGCTTTCCCTATAGATGGAATCGAATTAAATTCAACTGAACAGATTTGACTGACAACACTGACCCAGTACTGATTAGTGGGTGTCTACAACTGACGCAGCCGGGACCAACGGCATAACGTGCCTTCTGAAGCACGAAGGAGCTCGAGACAATACATTCTCGGTCACTCATGCTATGTCCGGCGCTTGTATAAGTTATTTAAGTTCGTATATCGCAGTTCAAATTCGCTAACCACTGCGCTATCGAGCTCATATATCGTATTCTGTATTTTCAGCATGTCACATATTATGAACATGGGATCGAAAGGAGCTTATATATAAAGGAGAAGACTTGTGACAAAAAAGAAGCAACAGAATTATCGACATTTTTAATGTAAGGAGCGCTTTCAGGGTTTACCTCACCGATTGCACCAAACAAACCATCATGAGTAACCATCGACTGTACTGTGCAAATTAAAATGGTACCCACGTGGGTGGCAAGTTCAAGAGTTTTCATATGCTGATAGCATAATGATTCATCGGAGATAAGAAATTGCATATCTATTCCAAAATTGCAACTATAAAGGTGACGCTTGAAACAACATTTCAAAGTTTTAGACTGATTTATTATACTGAAAAATATGAGTCATAAAATAGTTGGTAGACGATTTATTTAAATATTGAAACTTTAAATATATTTCAAAAGATTAAATTACATTATTAAATCGTTTTCGTATAAAATCATGTTTTCGATCGATAAAAAAAAACCTTCGAGGGAGAGAGCTCCCTCGAAGGTTTTTTTTATCGTTTGGATAAACTTTCCTTGAAATACTATATAGGAGTTATTGAATTCTTTAAGAGACTTGATTTTACTGAAAGAACTTTACGTATTGACTATGAATTATTAAAAAGCCTAAATTTACCTTTAACAAGAACACGAAAAGAGCTATAAGGTTACTTAAACGTCACCATTTGTAAATATGGTTACATTATCCAAGGTCGATTATGTTTCGATAAAACTTAATCTCATAAGAACTATAATTACTATTGATTAAGTGCGAAACATAATGAGCAAGTACTCCAGTATTGCGAAGGTCAAGGCCCACGTTCGATAACATTAATGCTTTCAAGGCGCACAACGCGTAGCGTTACGTCCTATTTGTTTTGCAATTTACTGATGTTAATTACGTGTGTACTCATTTATTAGTTTTTTTTTTATTTATTTACACTTTGAGAAAAATTATTTAACATGGTAATTAAACTAAGCCATGAAGAGAAACCAAGAAGGTTTGTACACATGTGCTAGGAATAAAATTATATAAAACATGCATTCAAAACATATCGGCAACAACTTAATTAACATATTATTAACAACAGCAATTTAAACATTTAAGTAATAACACGCACTTGGCACAGTATTTAGTCACCAAGCACATCTAAGTAATACACTTTTAGTAATTTCTTTAAGTTGTTAGGATGTATAAGCTGTATTAAATCCGGGGGTAGTTCGTTGATTAAACCTTTGACGTACTTATTTTTATATGTTACATATATTTTTTTACAAAATAACAGTCCTTAAGTGTAGATTATCCTTTACTTATAAAGATACATTACTTTGGGTATAATCGCATCTTGAATTGTATTCTTCATCGAATATTGCAAAATTATTTTTACTTATTGATATTGGTGAGTACTACTACTTGTAGCCAAAGAAATACGCCATGATTACGGAAATATGCTGTGGTACATATTGCAACGAGAAGAACTGGCAAGAATCAGAGCAAAGTTTGCTTTGCGTCCCTGTTCTATTCAAAAAATGGGTTTTATAAAAATATGAAAGACTTCCACGGACTTAGATTTAGTAATCTTAATGAAGTCTTCTTGTATAGCACGTCTTCAAAGAGAATTGCAACACTAGTTGCGCGCTGTGAGTAGTAAGGTTAGGTGCCTATCTGATGAAGGAATCGTCGCGTATCAATCTTGTGGGACGTCGAACTAGCAAAATATATTTTACAGATCCAATAGATGATACGTTGTGCATGTACGCATATTTCTGTATTACGTTCCAGAAATGTTCCGCTAGATTTGCGAATCGAAAAAACACAAACTTATGAACATGGGATCGAAGTGATAGATAACGCCTATGCCTTCTGTAGGTTATTAATTTGCAAGGCGCCCGTCTTCAATAGCATTTTCTTCAATATGTCGCTTTTAAGATAAGTATAATTTATCACTTTTTTAGTTTGAATGGATGGATGACTAAAATTCATTATTTCGAGCTTCTCCGTGCTTAAGAAAGCTAACAAAACCGACCAGTTCGCACTAGGATTGCATAATAGATTACACAGGCTCCCTATTCAGTTTTATTCAATTTTAGTTTTGAATACTCACGTGGTAGGTTCATCGAGGAACATGATGAGAGGGTTGCTGATCAACTCGAGAGCAATGGAGAGCCTCTTCCTCTGCCCGCCTGACAGCTGAGCCCCCCGTGTATTGATATGCTCATATAATCCCAGATTGGTAAGAATCTCTTCTATCTGGAGACATACACACAGTGTATTAGTTCACATATCTTAAGATTTAACAGTTTCGTCCTTTTGAGGAGTTAGAAAGTAATAAATGCATTTAGTGCAATCGCGGAGGCTAAGCAAATTTTGAAATTAGTTGATTGTGTTAATATCATTTGATGGTTATAATATATTCTCCTTGTTACTGTAAAGCCTGTGCCCTAGCAGTAATAAAATATTGACAGGCTGATGATTAGAATGAATATTATTTAGATATATCATGTTATTCGCTTTATGAATCGAGGCGCTACAATAATAAATCATCGCCTTCGTGTTACAATAAACGATCTTTATATTCGAATGGCTTCTACATCCAGCCCTGCGAGTCTGTAAAAGCGAGTTGTAAAAATCCGAACCCGAATTCGAATTCACTTCAAAAGCGGCATCCGCTCAACCTTGAACTGGTAATAACGTTTCATGGCATAAGTGAAATCAGCTTCGAAATGAAATAGTAATAGAATATCTGAGACACGAATTGTATCTTAAATAAAAAATGGAATCAATAGAATTTCTACACTAAAAGACGTGAGTTTGGACACATTAATGAATTTGAATTTTTACAGAATCGCTCTGCAGTTCATAGAAACGCCAAGATAAATGAATTAAAATAGTCTCTAAAAGTTGATATTCATCATTAAAAATATTGTATTACATCGGTAGAACAGGAATATTCTTTTATATTCGTTCCGAGCAACACAATGAGTAACACAATTAATACAATGGAGTTTACCCCATCGTCGCATTCCCTTCTTTGACCAAAGATTGTTGTAAACGATTATAATATCTATGTACTTGGGGCGAGAGTTATTCTTTTGAGGGCACAAACATGGAAGATACTTACAACTTCTCCTTTCTCATATTTGTCTTTGTCTGTGGATAATTTGAGGTCAGCAGCGAGCGCCATATTCTCTCCGACTGTCAGCAAACCCTGCAATCTGTCGTCCTGCTGAATGTAGCACGACATCTTCTTAAAGTTCTCTGAAAATATATGCAGTCATTTTAATTAATAATGATAGTACTGAAAATGCACATATTGAAACACATATAAAAGAGTTCCAGTAGTGATTGTCCTGTTCTTCAATAGGAATGCGAAAACTTGCGTATGAACACGTAAAATTGTACGCTGCACTGCCAAATATTTATGTCATATCTTTTTAATATGGTTTATTGTTGTTCGAGTGGTTTTTGAGAATGTTGTGACCGGGACCCATCTGAATGAGGACTGTATTATTAACTAGGTATTACTGACTGATTGTATTGTTATTACTAACCGATTATATTATAAATTATGTATTATAAATTTAATTATATATTTTACTATTAATTATTAATATTTTATGTGCGTATCTTGTCACCATAGGGTAACAGCTAAAAATCAGCGTAAGGTACTCTTGTGCCTAACATTATGCTGAGCGGATGGCCTATTTGGCACCTAGCTTATTGTAAAACATGTTTTTTGTACTGAGTTTTAGTTTTTTTTTTGTAATTTATCTAGGTGTTAATTAAATATTATTCTAATTGATACTAATTTATTGATGATTAACTGATTTGGCTGTTATTTTGAATCAAAGGTCATTAAATACAATAAATTGCTCAATGAGTAGCTAAGCGCATACACTGAAAAAGCCTTAATGACTAATTCTCCGAGTTTTTTTTTATATTCATTGGAATCATCATTGGTGTTTATCTAAAGAAAAAAAAACAATGAAAAATTTAGGTAGAAATACTAAATAATTCTTCTCCCGGACAAATAAAGTGTACATAGTTCACTACCAGTTTGATTACGTAATTATACATCAATCAAATATTTGACGTCATTCAAAACCAAAAAACGAACGTGCAGCGTCATTATCATTAGTCTGTAAAAAACCCTTTGTAATATAATATGTAAAAAGTGGCACGAAGTTCGTCGGATTTACTAATTGAAATTATGAAAATTAATAACTTTTGAATTCGTAATTGATAACGGTTTGATTATACTTTATATATCTGTATATAATATATTAGCGGTGGGTAATTTTCTTATATTTTACAATACCGAGTCGAAACTACATACATATCGATATTCAACATCGGATTCTGAAACTATATTTGTGTGTATTGATCTGTATTCGGTAACATCAAGTTGTCATGAATACAATCGCAAAAAAGTAGCAAAACAAATCAAGCATGTCACGTTTACACTTGCTAATTTAGCAAGAGAAAATAAACCGGCGTGCGATAAACTAACATGCTTGTTTACAAACTCTTTTCGTATTCTTCACAAAATAAAGTCTATTCAAAATCTGCTAAAATACATACAAAAGTATGGCAACTACCATACTTTTGCATGTATTAATAATAATAAGTCTTCATACTTTTCTTAAATTTACATATATACTTATAATTCTGTTATTGGAACCCCAGGTAGGGTATAGGCCTCCTCCAGCTTATTCCATGTTTCCCTATTCTTTGCTTTTTTTCTCCAATCTTTTCCTGTTGTATTAATTATTTTTAATCCATTTTTTTCTTGGACGACCTCTTCTTCTTTTGCCTATTGGCCCTTTCCATGTTGTTGTTCTGAATGTCCATCTTTGGTCCGTATATCTCGCTAGATGTCCTGTTCAACGCCACATTTGTGTTAGAGCATACTTGAGAGCATCTATTAGTTTTGTCTTTTTTCTTATATGTTCTCTTTTCTTATCTTTTGAATTTTTTGGAGTCATTCTGCTATGTAAAATTGATGTGAATAGTTTTGTACACGCTTGAAAGGAGGCTTATATAGTTTCCTATATCCTTTGGGTCTCCCTTTTTGAAATACAAGATTATATCGGATCTTTTCCACTGTACTGGCACCTGACCAGTATTAAGGACTTATTAAATAAGTAGGTAAGGAGGCGCACTAACAAAGCAGAGCCATTTGTAAACCATCGGGTCCCGGACTTTTATCTTGTTTCAACTTTTGAATGTGTTTGCTAACTTCCATAGCGTCCAGGTCCAGGTTTTAGGTTATTTTGATGGTTGTTTTTGTATCAATTATTTTTCACTCCGCAACAGATAATCGTGTGTGACTTCAATCTTCCTGCACTTCTCGCAACTTAATCCTTGTTGATAGTCCAAAGTTATGTTATTTGCATAGGTACGAACACATATTTGAGGTATTTTTATCACGAGTGACTTTCGGTATGTCTGTGTTTACTACGCCGGAAGTGGAATTTTTGCAGCAATATAGTTTCAAGCATTCATATCGGATATTACTATATTGATACATTATACGTTTCAATATCTGTATGTGACTTGTATCGGTCAATCCTAGAATACATATTTTATTTTCACTCTACAATTTAAAGTCAAAATTATTACTATTTTGGCTAAATACACCTTAGTTTCTCGATTCTTTTAAATATCAAGAGCTGATGGCTCTATGGTGCAGTGGCTAGCGCGCTCGGTCTGTGATACGGTTGTTAAGCATCATTCGCATTGATCGATCATAGGATGGGTGTCCTGAAAATTATTATATCAAGCTCCTTCTTGCTTCGGAAGCCACGTTATTTTGGTCCTGGCTACAACTGAAGTTAATACCCATCAATGCGCACTGGACCCACGTTGTGTGTAAGGCGCATTCTCCTCTATTACCTGAGCTCTATTGAGCTTTAGATTAAATTATATCTATAGATTTTTATTTACTTAATAAATATGAACAATAGAATAATCAACTTGTTCTGCTGTTATTGGGTAAGGTTAGTAATTTCTGGCATTAACGAAAACCGGAATATAACGTAACATTGTCTGACCTGACTTACGTGACTTCTAAAGCAAATGCGAAATCTTACACGCAAAATTTATTTTCGCAACTGTACAATTATTATTATGAAACGTATAATCTGTTTTATGAATAACCAACTATTCAAATATGAATGTGATGAAAGTAAACAAAATGTAAATAACCAATGTAACATAATGTTTTAGTTATATGCTGAATCAGAACCAAAATCTGTCTTTTTAAGAAGTTAAGATTTTACATAAAAAAAACTTATTTTCTAAAACAGAAGATTTTCTCAACTGATATTGATTTCTTATATTTTCGCGCGCAATATCCGTGTTCATATAAATCTTACATGTCTTTACGCCAAAAACCAAGCGCCGATAGCGCCTGTAAAGGGTCCAAAACGTCAATATAACTAAATACAAACGAGATGAAAGTGTTCAAAAGTTGTTTAATTTATTCTCAACGGTTTCTTCTATGACCAGACTCTGGTTCTGCTAAAAAATTAAAAAACTAGTAAACATAGCGCTATTTATAGTTAAAAAAACTAGTAAACATAGCGTTCGGTCAACAAAGATCAATGGATAATGGATATGGGTTAGAAAAGAACATTTAAATTCAAAAGAAATGTCAATGTAACAGAAACAACAACTTGTTAGTGAAAATTTAATATCTATAAATGCTAATTAATTATTACTAGATATTTATTAATTAACTTGTGCTTGTTAGATAAACCAGTTCATAATCCGGGATCACATTTTCTGAGGTTTTCTTGATAAAACCAATGTCAGAGCTGCAATCTAATTGCATTATTTACACGTAACGTTTATTTAAATAAATGAATACTTTCCGGTACCATAGATAATTTTATTCATGAGATAATTAAATATATTTGTGTTAATAGATATGATCGCATTTATAGCCACTAATATAATCCCATATTCGTATACTTGAGGAAACAATATTGGACCGGCCTTGGAGGGTCACTACCATGGAACTAGATAAAAATCCTTAAAAAAAATGTTAATGCAAGATTCTTATGCTTCAAATCAGTGCTCTCCAGCCACTAGAAACTGCCCGAGATGTGTGGTCAAAGTGTAGTTGTTCTACTTGATAAAACTCACTGCTTCGCGTGGGGTAAGGATCCGGGATCCGGTTTGGAGAGCACCGTATCCGAAAAGACTTTCTGAAGTATTGCTATCCACCGCCATCAAGTGTTTAAGGAGCTGATTGACCCTACTTTTAATTGTGCTGTTATTTTAACTGTATATAGGTACTTACTCATAATTCTGCCTCGTCCATTGATGAAGACTGCGCCTCCCACCCTGGAGATGCGGTAGCCTGAGAGGATGTCCAGTAACGTCGACTTGCCGGCACCAGATGGGCCCATGATGGCGATCAGTTGCCGTGGCCTGAACCTCCCGTGGACACCATGCAGAATTTGTTTGTGGCCTGAAATATTTTAACAAATGTTTAAATGAGCGAGGAAAATATTATCAGTGACATAAGAGGTTTGAACAGAGTTGTGAATCGTGCACACAGCTGCAGGTCACGATATATAAATCAGACAAATTTTCGCATTTTTTTATTGTAACATAAACGCGTTAAGGTTCAGAATTACTTGAAGAAATTTGAGAGATTTGCCAGATTTCAATGTTTCTTGAAAAATGGATCCGTTTTACAGATAAATATTATTTTTCACTTTATTAAAGATTGAAGTCAGTCCCATTTAAAAAAAAAGAAGCCATTATATTTACTGATACTTTTATGTAGGTACTAAAAACAAATATTTTGTATAGGTATCTCTATTGTATTAAATATATTTATAAAAGAAATAATATTTACGAAACGAAAGCCCTAATATTTTCTATTTATTTTCACGACGTAATAAGAAAACAGCTAATTTGATAGAAAAACGGTTCACAATTAACAAAGAAATCGGTGAACATACCTACTTACATTAAAATTATACACAACGGTTAAATATAGAAATTCCTCCTTTCGGATTTTGGATGAATGTAAAATACGCTACCTATACTATAGGTATTTATTCTTTCGCTGGTATAAATATATCATCTAAATATTAAAGTAATTTCTAATGAAAAGCATATTTTGGTTTGTTATAGAAGGAAAAGTACTGATTCGATTTCGATAAAATTTTAATGGTATCACCTCGGCCCATTAAGCTGTCGCATAAAAAATCATTTTGAAAATCGATTTATAATTGGCGAAGCAATCGCGTAACAAACAAAAAATAACATACAGTCGAATTGAGAACCTTCTTCCTTTTCCTCCGTTTCCCTTCGTTTTTCTTCCGTCTATTAAATATTACTTAGCATAAAGGAACAAAAACCTTGTTACATATGATGAATTTTGCATTCACTATGCTATAGTGGAAACTATTCTTAATATTTTTCAAAAAGTAAAAGGTGCTTGAAAAATTCATTAGGCGTGCAGACTTGGCCACAACAGATCGTAATGTTATCTAGTTTGGATTTATAGTTCCTATCTGTGCTAATGATAAACAAGGTGTAGCGTTAGAGTAAAGGGTTTAGCCGGATACGTATGACGAGTCGGCCCCCAAATGGGAATCGATATCGAAACTTATGTTTTAATATAGACTTGATGTTCAAACACGATTTATGTACTTTTCGCGACCGACTTCCGCTTTGACCTTGAGATAGAGAGCAAAATATCCGTATGCTTGACTATTACTGAATGTGATATATCTCTGAAGCTAATTAAGATAAAGAAGTGAAACTAACGCGAGGTGTTAGGTTACATTACAGAGTATATCACATATATTTTTTTATAATTTTTAGAATAAAAAATTACTTTAAAAAAATAAAACATAAAAAAATCATGTTTTTTTTTCTGAGTTCTCTGTGACTTACAATCACGAAATTAATATATGTTATGCTCCTTTGTATGCTCTATTACCCATAAAAATTGCGTGAAAAAAAAGTTGGTGCAACAAAGAAGGGAGTTCATTAATACAGTCAGCAACACTTCAGGCTATGAAGCTGTTATCATTTAATAATTATTTTTTCTATCATGATACTCCTGTTGCTTCTATACTAGTCACTTAATTGTCAAGTGATCAAGTGCTCACGCCACACCTCAAGGATTAAACACCATAGATTTATTATTAAGCACGGTGAAATGGCAAGACATGGTGACAAAATACCACCATTGTGCGCGTAGCCTTACTTGGTGAAACAGTTCTAAATCAAAAATGAAAGGTAAAGGACGAAAAACGTAAAAAACGAAAAAGTGTATCAACACAAAAATTATACGCAATTGAATTCGTTTAATTTTATCAGATAAGTAGTGTCCGCGGAAACAATACAGTTATTATAAACAAAAAACTCTTATCTCATCTTAATACACTACTGTGAAAACATTTTAAGTCAATCCATCAAGTACTTTTTAGGTTTCGCTGACATAAATAAGGAAGCATTCATATTGTTCTTAATCGATTGCAGATAATTTTGAACCCCCTAAAAATTATAACTATAATTTTCTTTATTTTGTTATGTAATGAACATACAGTATCTACTATGTTTTTAATGGTATTAAAAAAGCGGCAATTTTTTTACTATAGGCTTTCGAAAATTGATAAGTAACTATAAAAAATATCTGTGTTTAACTAATGTAAATAATAAAACATAGTATTTAACCGAATATTTCAATAAGTATTTAACTGCACCGATAATAATTTTTTAATCTAATGATATTGAATAATAACTTGGTTAACTCTTTTTTTTTAGTTCATAGCAAAAGACAAAAAGTCGACAACACATTATAACTATTGTCTATGCTTTTGTACCGTAATCTTATGCTATGTTTATAATATTAATAGTAGAGTACATGTTATGTGATAGACTTATTTTATATACTTTTATAAGATAAATTAAATCCTCTTTTTCAAATTTGCAATGGATTTATCAAGTATTATTTGGCCCAGTATCTACTTAAGCGACCCACATGGCGATCTCGTTTGGCTTCCGTACGCTGTGACCCAGTGATAACCTCATATGTACGTCAGCGATTATGGCTGTCAGCACTCAGGAATATGCGACCTTACACCTCATATCTTTAATTTATGGCCATTAGAACTGTTTGCAGAATTAAAGATCAAATAAGTATTTAATTGGAGTGAATACGGAGCTTGAGGGCGCAGTGGTAAGCTCACTTGGTTGTTATGCAACTTTCGCAAGGGCCGGCCATAAGATGGGTGACTAATAAATCATTATCTTGAGCTCCTCTGTGAGTTTGGAGCAAAGTTTGGAGTGTATTAACGACTGCAAAAGTAGCCGAGACCAACGGCTTAACGTGTTTTCCAAAGCACAGAGCAGTATAATGATTTTTGGTCACTCAACCCGTGAACGATTATTGCGAAAGTCATCAACATCAGCCTTTTTACGTCCCCACTGCTGGGGCTCAGGCCTTATGGATGGTTAAGGAGGATAGACTATGACCCTCCACGCTGGACCAATGCGGATTGGAGGGTATTAACGATTGCAAATGCAGTCGGGACCATCGGCTTAAGTTTTTGGGTACCCATCCCGTGAACGATCCTTGTGAATGTTGCTTAGTAAAAACGATCGCTGACTGCGGCTTATATCCACTTTGCTTCTTCTCTCAAAACTCCACTGTTCTTACACAGACTATGAGCCATTTTAATTTCAATAAAGTCTAAAGAAAAGCGATTTTGCTTTTCATCAATTTTCCGATTATATCTCGGACTTAAAAAAAAGAAAAAATTGGCTTAGCTTTACATTAACATTTATGAACAAATAGCTTTATTTGGATAATTGGTCTTAAAAGATTTCTTTGTAGGCATTGAATAGGCTCTGAAACTACCACAACATTATATACAAGAAGCTACATTACATGCTGATGACAAAGGCTATAAATTACGCGGCCGAAGTCGCAGTAAAAAGAGCTAGTGTTTTTAATATAATTTATTATATTTTTATTACACAGGTACTTCCAGTTTTTTGTGGTTTTATCTACGTTGGTTAATGTCTATCTTATTGCGCCCGATAATGACAGAAAGGGACAAATAATGAGAAATTATTAACAAACCATTATGATTTATTGTGATATAATGGTAATTAGGAATAACAGAGCTTGAAAAGCTTTTAAAAGTGATAAGAAGTATGGTTAAAGTGAGTAGGTAATTTGTTATCGAGAAAAGTAATACGTGTAATCAAATCATTTGGTGTTCCCTAACTAACAAAAAAGTAAACCAATGAGAGAAAATATACAATTAATTGACCAAAATAGATTAACTTCTGATCCAAATCAGTCAAAGGAAAAGTTAAAAAATCTTAAATCTAAAGACCAAATTTATCCAATCAATTTTGAAATTAGTTAAGAAACATTCTAAGCTACAAGATTATTTAACTGAAAAGAAATATTTAAACCATATATTTAAAGAAAGTACTTATTTTACAAGCTTCTCCCTTTTATTAAACTCGTAGTGGCCGGTTAACTGATTATTCTCAATCACTTTAGTTTTTTTTACATTTTACATGGCAAAAACTCCTAGTTTTATCAAACTGATCATTAAAATAACTATAAACAGAAACAAAAACTTGTTTAAGTGATGTTAAAAATGGCTTCAGTACGGTTTGAAACGTGCATTACTTTAAATTCTTTACTTTATTTACTTTAATTTCAGAAACCGGGTGTATATTAATTATTTCAGCTGGAGCGGTTGACGATAACCGCTTAAGAAATACAGACGCAAAATTCGTTTAACAAACATACATACACTACAATTTCGTTTAGATGACATCAGTTAGCAACGTTAAGCCATTTTAAATCTGCTGATCCGTAATTTTTGCGATTTTAAAATATGACACTTAACATCTGTAAATAACAACATTTCAGAAATGGATTGACATTCCATGACAATAGAAACCATCATAGAATACTCGCGATTCCAGAGGGTTTACTCTCAACGAACAAAAATTCAGAAAATTTCGAATAATTTTTTAAAAATTTCGAAATCTGTCCGCAAGAGACAGTGTCAGATTTTATCTCTATCTCGTCATAAATTTATCGAAAAATTAGTTCCATTGGAGTCATTTCAGCGTTTCGTAAAACAAACGATTTTTCAATAACTGACTTTCTGTACCTCTCTTAAGACAATTCAACCTTCCCAATGATTTATTCTTTAATTAATGAACACCGCATGAAAATTCATACAGTAATTTGATAGTTAATCGGACTGAAACCAACACACGAGGCAGAGGTAATTTGTTTTAAGTATATAATATAGTGATAAAATTATTATAATTACTTTAATTAGCAATCATACCAAAAAGACATCTTTTAAACTTTGACCTCTTACATATGCAATTGTCGTATCAGATAACAGGTATTCGAAACTCTACTTTGTAAGTTGCCTGATAAAAGAGGAGATGTATCAAAAGTTATCC